GCCTCTGGTGGTCGTTTGGCGTCCTGACGGGGCGCCCCGTGTTTCAAAAACAAAACACATTCAGCGCATCGCTGTTTTCACTTTTTTCATGTTTCGCACTGTTTTCACAAATAATGAGATCAAGAAGCGATGCCATGTGCTTCGCTTCCAACCGCCCCCACCCAAGGTACCAGGAGTACCGCCAGGTGGGCACCACGGGCCTGTACGTGATCTTGGGTGCTTGAAGGTGTCTTCCACTAGAAACCGACGAGGACGGATGATGATGATGCTGATGATGATGATGAGGAGGAGGAGGAGGAAAGAGGAAGAGGAAGAGGAGGCGGAGGAGAAGGAGGAGGAGGAGGTAGAAGTGGAGGTAGAAAATGAGGTAAAAGCGGAGGTAGAAGAGGAGGCAGACGAGGAGGATGACGAGGGAGGTAGAGAAGAAGGAGGAGGTAGATGAGGAGGGGCATGGGCATGGGAAAGAAAGGCCACCCCCTTCCCCCAGCCCCGTGAAGGTAGAAGTACTCCTGCGCTCGATCCCAGATGTCGAGTGCAACTTCACCATCATGAGGGCCGCGTGCGTCAGAGCGGTGTGCCGGTTCCCACCGCCCTTCACATTCCCCGACGTCATTCCCTCGTCATCGTCGTCACCCTCTTTCCCCACCTCCTATTTGTCCTCCTCCTCCTCCTCCTCCTCGTCTGCCCCCTCTTCTACCTCCACTTATACCTCATGTTCTACCTCCACTTCTACCTCCTCCTCCTCCTCCTCCTCCTCCTCCTCCTCCTTCTCCTCCGCCTCCTCTTCCTCCTCCTTCTCCTCATCCGCACCTCTTCCCACTCCTCAAAACGAGGTTCCCGAGGTGTGTGAAGGAGACGAGGACGGCGTCCGACTGCGAGCGCGCTGGCAGCCTCGCGGACAAGTTGCTGACGATCCTCAAACATCTTCGACGAGTTCGAGATAGTGCTCTCCGCCAGCGCCAGGCTGCGGATGGTTAAGAGGAGGATGAGGAGGCATGGTAGGAGGATGAGGATGAGGAGGATGAGAAGGAGGAAGAGGCATGGTAGGACTAGGATGGTTAAAACGTACGCTGGGTATGATGATGAGGAGGATCAGGTTACGAGGATGCTGGGGAGGACGAGGAGGAGGATGAGGAGGATGATGAGAATGAGGATGGGGATGTGAGATGATGGCGGAGGTAGTGTCCCATCGTTTTGTTCGACCCACCCTCCTTCCTTTCTTTTCGATTCTCCCATCCCCTCCTTCAAACAACGTTTCCCTATCTACCTCATCCTCTCACCTCAGATTGCGAGGCTGTTTCGAGCTGCACGACGGACGACCAGGTGGACTCCATTCAGTTCTTCCTCCACCTGATGGGGAAGCCCCCCATCCCCGTCGACGTCGTCGAGATGGCGCGACGCGGCTCGCGTCACTCGTCAAGGGCGTCCTCGCGGGCTCCGAGCTTGAGGCGTTCTGCAAGCGCGATGTCGATCGTGCTGACGGAGACGCGCGCTTGCAAAAGGGATATGGTGATGGAAGTTTGGGTGAGGAGGATGAAGGGTGGATGGAGGATAGGATGACAGAGGATAGATGAGTAGAGGGTTGGTGAAGGATAGGGGATGGATGGATGGACGGATACGTGGAGGATGGATGGAGGAATTTGGAGTTTTTGTGTTCGACAATTTGAAAACTGTGCCCTTGAGGGCCCGATTTGACAATACTTGGGCCCAACTGTGGCCCAAGTATTGTCAAATTGGGCACATCCGCCAGGACACTCCGAGGCCGTCGTGCAAGCCGCTCGACAAGGTGCAGCTGGACGACGAGGTGCAGTCGGACGACGACGAGGTGCAGTCGGACGACCACGAGGTGCAGTCGGACGACCACGAGGTGCAGTCGGACGACCACGACGAGGTGCAGTCGGACGACCACGTTGAGGTGAAGTCGGACGACCACGCCGAGGTGAAGTCGGACGACCACGCCGAGGTGCAGTCGGACGACCACGCCGAGGTGCAGTCGGACGACGACGCCGCCGAGGACGGGTCGGATTGCTGTTTGTTTTACCCTGGAACATCCCGTTTGCAAACGTTTGCAAACGTTTGCAAACGTTTGCAAACGTTTGTACACGTTTGCAAACGTTTGCAAACGTTTGCAAACGTTTGCAAACGTTTGTCGCCCTCATCATCAGCGTCCCCATCATCATCCTCCCACGCGTTCATCTTCCTCCTCCTCCTCCTCCACTCCCGTCTACTTACTCCTCCTCATCGTCCCCCCCTCCCCCTCATCCTCATTATCCTCTTCATTGCCCCCGTCCTCTCACCGACGCCAAGAATCCGAGTGGGGCCAGGAGGAGAAGGAGATGGGGGAGAAGACGGAGGAGGGGGAAAGGGGGAGGGGGAGGGGGAGGGTGACGATGAGGATGAGTAGAAGGGCGAGGAGAAGGGCGAGGAGCACGTGGGGGAGTAGGTGGAGGGGAGATGAGGAGGAGAAGGGGGAGAATCAGGAAGATGAGGAAGTCACCCTCAGCCAGGACGACTCGACCATGCGCACGCGCAAGATCGAGCAGCCGATCTCCGACAAGGCCATGAAGGCCCCCCCCCCCGACAGCCCCGACGATGAGGATGGCGGCGAAGGAGGAGGGGGAATAATGAGGTGGATGGATACGTGAACAGGGGAGGAAGGATGGAGGCGGATAAGGAGGAGGTGGATAATGTGGTGGATGGAGTGGACGGGAATAAGGAGGTGGATGGATGAGGAGGAGGAGGAGGAGGATATGGAGGATAGGGAGGAATGTCGAGAGAGGTATGCGGAAAGTGAGGCCAGGGACGATAAGGAGGACAGGGAGGAAATAGGGGCACACGTCGTCAGCGTCATCGTGGCACACGTCATCAGCGTCATCATCACTATACTTCCACCCTTCAACCTCCCATAAGTCAACCTCCCAACCTCTCTGTATCCAATAATTCAACATCCCAACCTCCCATCCTCGCATCATTGTCGTCCCAACCTCCCATCATCGCATCATTGTCGTCCCAACCTCCAATCCTCGCATCATTGTCGTCCCAACCTCCCATCCTCACATCAGTGTCGTTCCAGCCTCCCAACCTCCCAACCTCCCAACATCAACATCATATGCATCATCAGCCCATTTTGGCTCCACGCGTCATCGCCGTAGCGGCGACTGGGCACTCGCTATGCCAGATTTGGAGCTACGCGAACACATCGCGGCCAAGTTTTTCCTCCCAGACCGATGGCGGCGCCTTCAGCGAGCTCAATATGCGCTCTTGCTGTACCTCGTTGGTTCGACCGTGGAAGCGGTCCCTCATTTTGTGCCGACGGAGGATGAGCGCGATCTCGTCTTCTTGGAGGTCTTGAGTGGCTCAGGGCGGCTCGCCGACGCGTGCTGCTCGCTTGGGCCGTCCACGAACTACGACGCCTCATACGGGCCCGAGTTCGATTTGCTCAAGCACAGTGGCTATGGTCGGATCATGCACCTGGCCATGCGGATGAAAGTTGGCGCGGTGGCGTGGATGGCTCCATTATACCACACGTGGGTTGGGAAGGCCAGTGCTTCGCGCACGGCCGATCTTCCTCAGGGTGATTTCCGTGACTTGGCGCAGCAAGAGGCCAACAAAGTGGCCAATCGCCTCACCGCCATCAGCGTGATCTTGTGGCTGCGTGGGGTTCATCAGTGCTGGATCCACCCCCCCACGTCGTACATCTGGCAGTATGCGCCAGTCATCCGGCTGTCGTCTCTCGTGAACACGTTCGCGACCAAGACTTACCTCGCCCACTGGGGCACCAAACACTTGAAGGAGGTGCTCATTCGCCACAGCACCCCCGAGTTCCACGACCTTGAGCGCAGCAAGCCGAAGCCCATTGGACCTGCAGCCCACGACTCTTCGGATGATCGCCCCTTGGAGCTCGACAACGGCACGTACCCGTTTGCGTTCGCCCAGTCGGTGAAGTGCATAATTGCGAAGGTCATCAACGCCCCCCCGCAGAAGAACTTGTATGATTACATGACCCCGACCAAGCGCGGCTTGGCAAATACATTGACCATCTTCACCGCGTTCTCCCCCTCTGCCCCACGCCCTCCTTCCTCCTGCCTCAGCGGGGCGGAGGACGGGAGGAGGAGGAGGAGGGGGAGGAGGAGGAGGAGGAGGAGGAGGAGGAGGAGGGGGAGGAGGAGAAGGAGGGAGAGGAGGAGGAGGAGGAGGAGGAGGAGGAGGAAGACGATGATGGCATGAACGGTGTAAACGGATGGGGGAGGGGGAGAACACGGAAAGATGGCAGTGTGTTTTGCCAAGTCGATCTAGGCATCACGGCCATGCGAGTTCAGCCTCCTCCGAGTTTCTCGGGGACGATTTCGGCACGATCGAGCACCTCAGCGAGTCGTCGGGGGCAGAGGTTGATTTTATTGATTTATATTGGAACCCTCACCCCCCCAACCTCCCCAACCTCGCACTCCCCCTACCGAACCCCTCCTCCCCTTACCGCCCTCCCCCAACCTCCCGAGCCACCCTCCCCTTACCACCCCTCCCCAACCGCCCTCCCCTTACCACGCCTCCCCAACCTCCCTCTCATATCCACCCCTCCCATCCGTCCTCCTATATGCATATCCTCTCCCAGGGGTCATGCCAGAGCAAGCGCAGGCGCCTCCGCGTGAAGACGCCTTCCCCTCAATCGGAGATCGGGGGCGGCACCGCAAACGTCCAAACATCCCCCCCGATGTAAAAGTGAAAATACTTAGCAACAACTACGATGACTACAGTCGGTGCGCCAAGTGAGGGTGAACGTCGTTCTGTTGAACCCCTGCATCCTAGCTTGTTCGGTCAAGTTTTACAAAATCTAAGGTGTGCATCGACTATTCGAGTACCCAAGGGTCATGAATCCTTACTACGTTCATCCATGCAATTCGAAGTGGCTGCGCCTCTTAGTTTACTCCCTCAGGAACCCAAACCCTCTGCGACGGGGCTGCTGTGGGCCAACTATGGGCCAGCCGTGCGCATTAGAATGCAGGAGCTCACATGGTTGGCAACACGTGTGCCCCAACGCTCCCCCTTCTCATTGTTTACCACCCCGTGCCGTAGTTTGTTGTATCAGATCCGCTACAGGAGCTTGGATTCACCCCATCGATGTTCGACGATCGCTCTGCCAGTATGCCAGCATGCAGCGGCGGCAAAGGCTCGGCAGACGGCATCGTTCCACCTGCAGGCGGCGACGGCTCGGAGGACGGCACCGTTCCACGTGCAGGCGGCGATGGCTCGGAGGACGGCACCGTTCCACGTGCAGGCGGCGACGGCTCGGCAGACGGCGCGGAGGACGGCTGCGTTCCACGTGCAGGCGGCCACGGCTCGGCAGACGGCACCGTTCCACCTGCAGGCGGCGGCGACGGCTCGGCAGACGGCATCGTTCCACCAGATGCAGGCGACGGCTCGGCCGACGGCACCGTTCCACCAGATGCAGGCGACGGCTCGGCAAGCGGCATCGTTCCACCAGATGCACGCGACGGCTCGGCAAGCGGCATCGTTCCACCCGCCATCGGCGGCTCGGCGGACGACATCGGCGTGGCAGACGGCGGCTCGGCGGACGACATTCCTGATCTGAGTGACGATGAGTTGAGGTCGATTTCA